GGATCTATAGATACATCCGACAATGAGTAAGTTTCTTTCCTTTAGTTTAATTTTACACCACTTGGATTCTTCAAAAACATCCTCCCCAGCACCCTCACCTGGCTTGCTCTAAGGTTTTGCCTAGCATACTGTAGATAACCACACTCTGCTTGCAGGTGGCTTGAGAAAGGTTCGTAAATGAGTCATATCCATCAATAGTGAACTCGCATTCCTCCAGGTCGATTCTCTTGTTCTTGTACAGCAGTTCTACAACACCTATTATATGGGGTTCATGTATCTTGAGTAGGGTTTCAAATTCTGCTCTCTTATCAAGGAGCATGTCAGTATTAGTGTACAATACATGACTTTCAAGCCGAAATTAGTCCTCGGTAATGTCTCTGATTGGCAGTGACTCCGGCCTCCCCCTATTCTCGGCAGCTGCTTCATTTACTAAATTTAATGCATTTTCTGGGGTGTGACCAGAAATGACATTGTTTACAAGGCGCTCGCCTCCTCCTGGGTGGGGGCTGTCCCACTGTTACATGGTTCTGTACTGCTTAAAGAACTTCTGGAGTTCACAGTTTGCCCTCCTGAACACAGGTGGTAATAGTAATACCAAGTTGCACAACCTTGGGACCACAGGATGGCCTGCTTTTGTCCTGTACCATCTACTGTAGCAGTTGTTACTGTCATTCTCCACTAGCCTACAGTAGGCATACACTGTCCACACTGTTATGTGCAGTACTTTCAACTGAATGTACAGTATCTAAAAAAAGTATCTGTCCACACACTGTGTGAAACATTATGAGAGCACAGATGATAAATACAGGTATTAGGACATGCATTTACTTTGGTAAATAGTTTAACATTTATTTCGACATAATTAATATGATGTTCAGATGTCAAACGTAGTAGGATCAGTATAGCACAAAGTCACGAATATCAACCCTCCCGCATCACGAGTTGTATGTAGCTTTTGAGACGTCAACGGTCCAATCTTGGCAAATGCTTTTTTGAGATAGTATGCAATACAACAATGTAACGTAACTGTAATCGCTCTTATGTCTTAACACTGTATCCTTGGCTGGTTGTGTCCTGGTACAGTAAGCAAGCAAGCAAGCAAGAGAACACAACCTTGTAAATGGCAGCAGGTTATGTACTAGGCGCTCAAACTTATGGCCTAACTTAACCAAACAGCTAGTCCACCCACGTACCCGACACGTGGGGATGCATCAGAGCATGATGCAATTTCATGGAACTTTCAGAAAATTTGTTCCCATGACCTGAACGGAGAGATTTCCTCAGGGAGGGCAAACTGTAACAGTACTGTATATACGGTACCTAACCCGTGTTAAGTAGGGTAACTTTGCTTGTTGTTATTATTATTATTAATTGTATTAATATTTTAATATTATTAGTACAGGTACAGAATTGTTGTATCTTTTTTTTTATTTACAGTACGTATACTAAGGGCTAAATAATGGATTCATATTACTGTAGGCCATGACAGTTGATAGACAAAAATATTAGTTGTGGCAGTGGCAGTATGGTAACCAATGAGGTTTATCCGAGGTGTGTTATCTGCTGATATTATTGGGAAAATTTATCTAAAAGTCAACCTTAGCCTTGCACCACTAGTACAGTACACAAAAAGCGCCACTAGTACACTATGTGTCTCTTCAAGTGAAACCAATGGGGAGGGTGCTGCTTAACCCCTAGGCTTCAGGTCACGTCCTATGATGTTTGTCTGTAGAGCTATGGGTTTTGTAACATGACATTTTGGTCTTTCGTGGGCCTATCAGAATAAAAAGGGTGGGCCTGGCTAGATTATGCTGCCAAGTGAGTATATATATATATCTTTCACTCACACATGAGAGCCTCTTTCTCAGCTTTTGTGATGTAGGCATACAGGGCGTCCTCGCTTAACGTCAGGGTTACGTTCCTGAAAATGCGACGTTATGCGAAACAATGTTAAGCGGATCAATTTTCCCCATAAGAAATAGATAAAATACGGGAGTTACGTTCCCCAGCCTCCCTTTGCCCCATGAAAAAGTTACATATACAGAAAATCATTGCCATTTCTATAGAAAATAGTATATAGAACTACAATATTAAGTTTGTATTGGAACTTACCGATGGGCGGAGGTGGTAGAGCGAGTGTGTGGTGGGTAGTGGAGCGAAGGAGGAGGATGGCAGGAGCGAAGGAGGAGGATGGCAGGAACGGAGGAGAAGGGTGGGAACGGAGGAGGGTGGTGAGTCACTGAGAGTCTGTGGCTGCCTGCACCTCCTCCTGCTCTGACTGGGGTGTCTCCGCCGCTGCTTGCTCCTCCTTCGTTGATGTTTGCTCCTCTTCCGTTGTTGGCGGGAATGTTTCGGCAGTAACCGTATCTGAACTGGCAGCTTCACCAGTCATCTTTATGTTGTGGAAGTTATACTGACGCTTAAATCGTTGAAACCATCCTCGGCTGGCCGTAAAGGTCTCGTCCTTCGATTCTTCACCCTCTGTTTCCTTCATGTCGTCAAACAAGGATCTGGCCTTATGCTGGATAACCATAAGGCTCACAGGGGCACTGAATTGATTCTGGTCCTCTATCTACATTGCCAGCATCTTTTCCACCTTCTCTATCACAGTGCTTCTAGTACGAGTCGTCTTAGTAGCACTCAGAGAAGAACCACTTCCAGCACTACCGGTAACCTTAATCTTGTCAGCGTTGGTCCGGATAGTACGCACTGTTGTGGGGGCTAGACCAAGCACAGCGGCTATGTCCACAGCACGTTCCCCTTTTTCAAATCGGGTTAATACATCCATTTTCGTAGCAAGGGTAATGGTCTTACATTGCCTCTTCACTACACTAGCATCAATAGCACTTGATGAGTGCATGGAAGCCATTTCGAATGGTTAGAGTACAGTTTTAGAGCAAAAGCACTTAGGCACACATGAATGATGTGAAGTTGTAACAGACTGGCTTGGCGTTGCTGTGTCGTTCCGTGAGTGAGGGCAGCGCGCTGAGCCGAGAGAGCGTAGCGCGGCCAGCAAGAGTGGGTGATGTGCCGTAGAAAGTCTGTGATATAAAATATCCTTTAAAAACCAAAATTTAAATTTTGCGCCATTTTCGATATTCCTGTGCTGCTCCGAGAAGCCTCAGTCCATACGTGCCTACCATACTGTGAACGCTACTGTGATTACCTCTTCTGTTTGTCCTCCCACGTGCATTCCACATGGCTCCGGGACGTAAGCCAGCCTCATCAAAGGCAAGTATTACTAGCAAAGACTCTAAAGTGACCAAGAGATCAAGAATAGTGATGACCTTGTAGGGTTTCGTGATATTATGTTGTCTAGCACTCAGGATGGATGGAAACTCTAAGGTGGTGGTTTTCTTATATAATATAAGTTATATGGTAGACAGTCTGGTGCTGGAGATGCCGTGTGGTGAGGAGCTGCTCAGTAGACACGTTCGGTGAGTAGCGTGTTGAAGGAGGTAGATGTGCAAGAGCTTCGTTAGAGAAGATGTTGCCTGTTGCTGGCCTCCAGGTTGAATGAGAACGGGACAGCGAGGAGCTTGCTTGGAGGAGGTGTTGCGTGTTCAGGAACCGAGAGCAGAATAAGAGAGCTGGTTGGTGAGGACGCTCAGAGAAGGACAGCTGGTGGGTCGCCATGCTCGCCGGCGGGAGCGAGGACTGCCAGGCAGGCGGAGGAGAAGCGAGGGCCGCCAGGCAGCGGCGGAGGAGGAGGTGTTGCGTGTTCAGGAACCGAGGCCAGAATGAATCTCACTGGAGAGACAGAGCTTATATACACAGCCGCCGGAAGTAGACCGTGGGAAGTCGCCGGTTTCTCGACTCCGTTGCTAAGGAACGGTAGCAGCTGGTGGCTGGTTGCTAGGATACTGTGGCATCTGGTGACGCCCCCCCTGGGCCGCTCGTTTGGTTGCTAGGGAAGACGTAGCAGGTGGCATTGGAATGCGGCTACGCAGTTGTAGGGGAGACGTCCACTACAACCTTAACGAAAAAACCCAGTTTTATTGGACAAGCTCAGAGGTGGTATGAGCTATGGCCTGAGATGTGGTGAAGACTGACAATTCATTTGTGTGTCTTGTCAGAATACAAGTTTTCAAGTGGAGGAATGTGGGTGGAAGAGGACTGGCTGGCTGGCGTGACTGCGTGAGGGCGGGCAGACGCCGGGACAGCAGGGAGAGGCTGGCAATGCGATCGTTGTCGACCTCAGCGAAATATATATTTTTTTTTTATACAACTGTGTTTACGTTTTTCCATTATTATACAACAATATGATTAGTTTCAAATAATAATGTTAGTAAATGCCGGTGCAGTGCATCAGTGATCAGTGTGACCACTGGGCCGTGAGTGGAGAGCATGGCGTGGTTTAGTGCATGACCTACCTGAGCCGTTTGGTGGCCACAGGTACAGTGATTCCTAAAAGAGTATTCGCGGTTTTGGCTTTTCGCGGGGGTTTCAGGAAGTAATTCCCGCGAAAAACACGGGATTACTGTAGATGCTTTATCATGGCATCTCTTATAATGCAATTGATTGCGTCCATGAAGCAGCTGACTTCTGTGGATGCCTTTAAGAAACAGCTTATGACTTTTTTTTTTTTTTAAGCTTATGAACCTGAACAGGGTAGGCTGATGGAGAATTACAGGGTTTAGGCAGTATTAAATCTTAAAGGTATATGAATGATTGAAGTCAAACTGTCACTTTTTGTGATTTTTTATTGTAGTCCACTATTTTTGTTTATTCTCAAATCTTTGACTTTGTAGTGTTTCAAGCACTAGTGAATTTTTAGAACTGCCGCTTTTGTGAAACAAAGAAAAGTACAGTGTTAATTATTTTTATTATTATTATTATTATTATTTAGTATTAAAAGTTTGAACATTAAAAATAACTGCAGTAGTATGGTTGTTACCTAATATTAACAACTAAAATATTTGTGTGGGTACAAACTGTTGCCCTCAGGTAAGAGTCAAACACACTCTCTCTTTCTCACAGCATCTCTTTCTCTTCCTCAGATGTAACGCCTCAGCCAACTCCAGAACAAGGTAATATTCACACACACACACGGCTGCAACTCTATTAATAAACCATTTATTATTATTATTATTATTATTATTATTATTATTATTATTATTATTATTATTATTATTATTATTATTGCACACAGTATCAATTTGTGAAGGCCAGATTTGCATTGCTAATTATTCGAGACCTGTGTTTTTCAATGGCAAATTTTTGTGCTTTTATTTTTTCTGGATATATATACAATACTAAATTAGTTCAACATGTAAAGTTTCCAATTGTGAGATTTTTTTTTGCTTCAAAACATACTTTCGCTCAAAATCTCAATTGGAAATCCTCTCTCTTTTCTTAACATTTTCATTCTTCCTTTGTGTGTAAACATTCATCTTTTATATCTGACTTTTAGCATGAATCTAAGTAATACAGTACAGTATAAGGCTTATTCTTTGTATTCTGTTATGTAATTCCACATTTCATCGCTCATCAGCACAGCCTTATTTTGCTCTTACCCTTCACACACACCTAGTATTACTTATCTCACCTGTCCTGAGCAGACTCCTTTCATATTAAATTGTACGGCAATAATATTTGTATTCCATTCATTTTATAACCAAATATTTTTTATCTTTTCCGCCAAATCTAAAATGCTGTCTTGTGTACACCATCCCATGTACACCAATGCCTCGTGTACAGCTCCATGTGAATGCCTCAAGACTCGGCCTCTACGAAAACGTGTGTACAGAAGACGAAACTTTGACTTTGGTAAGTGATCCATGATTGTGTGTTTGTCTCTATATCTGTCCCGGTCTCTGTCTCTTTGTATATATATCTGTGTGTGTGTGTGATCCTCTGATGCAGAAGATGAAGGAGGCATTTTATGCCGACCTCGACAGAGTGCTAACCTCTATCCCCAGAGAAGACAAGGTTGCGCCCCTTGGTGACTTCAATGCCAGAGTTGGCAGAGATGCTAACATATGGCAGGCTACCACAGGGAGAAATGGACTAGGCAAGTGTAATCCCAACAGCCTACTCTTCCTCATCAAGTGTGCTGCACACAACCTCACTATCACCAATACCTTGTTTAGGCAGGACGACAAGTTTCGTGGCAACACCCACGATCCAAACACTGGCATCTCATTGACTGATCATCGGTTTGTCAGAACCAAGCTCTCACTTCATGTCGCCCCAAAAAGCGAAGGCAGCAAGCCTCCAGAAGAGGTTTTAACACTAAGCTTCTGGAGGACCCAGCGGTAGCACATGCTTTCAGAGAGCAGCTTGAACATGGGCTGATAAACAACCCAACAACAAACAACGCAAATCCCAGTGCCGAATGGGATATTCTCAACACCATCATGACAAAAGCCTACAGAGAGACCCTCGGCCAGATCGAAAGAGTACACCAGGACTGGTTTGATGAAAATGACCCGGAAATCAATGTACTCGTTGATGATAAACCTGCTGCTTTTACTGATTGGCAGAACAACCATTAGTCTTGAACCAAAGCGGGAACTAAACAATCTAAAGAACGATTGGTTTAAAAATCAAGCATGTCAAACACCAAAAATTGCAGATCAGCACAAGATGCATGAATTTTTCAATTCCATTAAAACATTTTATGGGCCAATCACTAATGGCGCAGCCCCCTCCGCTCATCCGGCGGTAACTTCATTATTATAGACGATGGAGGCCTCCTTCAGCGCTGGAAAGAGCACTACTATTCACTGCTCAACCGAAACACCGATGTGGATGTCCTGATTACCCAGCAGGACCCTCAGCATCCAGAGTTGACACATCTCAGCTATCCTCCATCCCTGGATGAGGTAGCTACTGCCATCAAATAGATGAAAAATAACAAAGCCTCAGGGCCTGATGGAATCCCAGCCGAGGTGTATAAAGCAGGAAGACCTCTGCTTACCAGCCGTCTCCACTCTCTCCTGAAGAACATATGGGAAAAGGAGGAAATCCCCCGAGCTCTTAAGATGCCTCCATCGTCAATATTTATAAGAACAAAGGAGACCACTCAGACTGTGGCAACTGCCTTGGGAATCTCAATGTGGCTTTAGAACATCACGTGGCACCACTGACATGATCTTTGCTGCCCGGCAGTTACAGGAAAAATGCAGAGAACAGCCGTGACGTATACATGGCTTTCATCGACCTAACCAAGGCCTTTGACTTGGTTAACAGGGAAGCCCTCTGGTGGACCCTCAGCCGATTTGGCTACCCACTAAAATTCATCGCCATTGCGAGGCAACTCCACGATGGCATGAACGGAAGTGTCCTGTATAACGGCATCCAGTCTGAGTTCTTTCCCATCCAAACAGGGGTTTAAACAAGGGTGTGTTCTGGCACCTACGCTGTTTTCCATTTTCTTGGCTGCCTTCGTTACTCGTTCCAGTCCCAATTTAGCCGGCAGGGTGGGCATCGAGTACCGGGTGATGTCTCCAGGCAAGAACAAAGGTGTCGGCAGCTTCCATCACTGAACTTCAGTACGCAGACGACCTCACCCTTGTTGCCCCCACTGAGCACGACCTACAGGAGATCCTGAACACCTACACAGGTGCGAAAGACTCAGATTCTCTTTCAACCTGCCCCTGGTTCAGACACACCTCCACCATCCATTCAGCTTAACGGTACTACCCCCTCTCATATTACCCATTTTCGGTATCTTGGCTCCCACCTGTCCACCACCGCAGACATTGATGAAGAGATTCAGCATCGGATCAGATGTGCATCTCAAGCCTTTGGCAGACTCCGAAACCGTGTCTTCTGCTGTAGGGAGCTGAAATTATCTACAAAACTGCACGTATATTGGGAGGTTAAAAGCCAGTAGAAGTAACAATAAATGCTCAGTATTACTGGCAAATTTCCAGTCACACAAAAAAGACAGTCTCAACACTATTGTCTATGAAAACTCGCTAAACGGCAAACTCTACCTATGAAGATCAGAGCTTGAATGATTCCTTGGTGGGCACCTGTAGATGGCGTCCACTAATGTATTTTAGCCATTACAACTGGATACGAGTTACCATGATGTATGACAAAACTTTCGAGAACAATATCCTGGTTCCCATTATTAAGGACTTCTATCTATAGTAGATTACAGTATAGTCTCCATTTACGCGGTCAATTGAACCTGTGGCGGTCCGTGTAAAACGAGACGAGTAAACAAAATAACAGAACATATGGGATTAAGTGAAATAGAGACAGGGCCGACCCCCAAACTCCACTTTTTCCGACACAATACGTACGTTGTAGTAAAAATAGTAACTTAATTTTATGATGGTATGCACACACACATAATGTAAAAGAGAAATATCAATAAGAGAATAATATACTGTACCAGGTAAAAGAAAAATCAAGGTTTAACACTTACGTTAGTAGAAGAGATGGGTCGGCATACGTGGATGGCGGCTGGTTCCGAGGCAGAGGGCAGATTAGTTGCCCTCCAGTGAATCACTATCACTATTCACAAAGGTTTGCAGGGCCTCCCTGACAAACCCCTCAAAGTCCATATCGTCACTGACTCTATTACTGACTTGAGCTGGCTGTGGTTGTGGTGGGTTGCGGGCGAAGAAGTCCGTAACACTACGTTGACGACTAGCATTGATGTTGTCGTGATACATCTGGACATACAGCTCCATAATTTTCGACAGAAGGTTCTTACACACTTCATGCCGATGCTTGACTGTGTCTTTGTCAAGGATGAGCTTGATTTTCTCCCCCAACTCGATGACTTCCTTCCTTCCTTCCTTTTGGTTCAGGTTCAAGGTTTTTCTGGGGTGGTGGGGGTCCAGCGGAAGCCATTGTGAGGGGAATAGCGGGTACAAGAGAGAACTGTATACGTGGAGACTGAGAACAATGAGACTGGCCCGGCTAGGTCAGCGACTTCTTCCCTCTGGTGGCCGGGCACGTCATGTTACATTAGACCAATCACAGCTAGCGGCGGAGGGAGGTAAGGATGCGTGACCCAATCACAGTCCAATACGTCATAGGACGTCAGTGATGATGTAAGAGCGACCTAATGCGCACCCCTCCCTGCTCCGCTTCCCGTGTATGGTCAAGAATGGACTGCATGAATAAAAAATGGCGCGGTTCGTCTGGACCTCTCGTCCGCTCGCCGCGTAAATGATGAAATTAACCGCGTAATTAAAAAATTTCATTCTGGCAAGGTGCAATGTAAATGACCAAACGCGTAAACAAAATCCGCGTAAATGAAGACTCTACTGTATATGTGTAAATCTGAATATACTAAGACTTTTTGTCTTAAAACAGTTTATATTATGTGGTTCTGAAACATTGTTTATTTACAAACTGCAATCATATATATCTGCCAGAGAGTGTTTTGATGGCACTGAGTGTGAGCTCTTTCAAGACCGGGGTTGACCAACACTGGTGAAGGTACAGATACATTATGGAGCCAGTGCTGTAGTGTGTGTGGGGGGGCTAGGTTGACTACCCCTTGATGAGTGCCCAGCCAACCTGTTAAAGATTTGCCATGTCAACAACAGTATATCTCACACTAATATATCTTGACAGGTATATCTGGCATGTATTGTATATATGCCACAGGTATTACTGACACTGCTACATTTTTTACACTAGTATTTAAATGACAATGCTGCAAATCTGACACTACTTTGCTGCATATCTAACAATAGTATGGTATATATCTGACAATTACTGTTTGTTTGACTGGTTGCTCCTCAGTGGTCCGTGGGAAGGTGCGGAGTGTGGATACTTTCGGGTCTCTTACGCTGACGACTGTGGCGGTGACGAAGGTGGTGAGGAAGGGTCGTGTGCAGGTGATCCCAGGAGCCGACGCGCACCTGTGGACAAACCGATCCTGTGCTTGTCCTCCTCTCCCCCTCCACCAGTAAGTGTCACTCTTTACTACTTATTTATTTTTTTTGTTCTTTCTTTAATGGGATTTTCATTTCCATATGTGTAAACTCTTGGAATAATCTGCCACAGAGACTTGTGACAGCACTGAGTGTAAGCTCTTTCAAGACCAGACTTGACCAACACTGGCGCAGGTAAAGATACATCCTGGAGCCACTTGACCGACCAGTCAAGTGGCTAATGAACTAATCAGCGGTGAAGAGAATAAAAGTAAAGTAAAAGTATTAGTTGGTGTAGCTCAGTCAATGGTGGAACACTTTATGACAGGTGTAGATAGATATATTATATTTAATACTGTGGATAAATAGCTAGATTAGGTTAGACAGACTGGGTAGATTGATTGCTATGATATAGATTAGATAGATTTATTGATGAGGTAGATTGATAGATTGATTAAAATTAATAGATATTTTTTTAATATAATTACTAGGTATACAATCAGTGGTAAATAAGATAATAAGTTCTCTGGTTAACCTGGTGCCTTGTTGCCAGTACAGTACTGTATATACCTAGACATCTGTTGTCATACTTGGCAGAATAACTACTAGTATGCCCTCATACCATCCCTCTAACTCCACACTACCTACCACCCATACTACTACCACCCTATTATAAAGGGGGCCGATTCCGCTGTCACCATTTATAAAGAGTGCGGATTTCTTATTAGTCTTTTCTTATCAATTTATCCCCCGGCTGGTAACTTTTAACTCTTCAACCTGTTTTTCTCTCAATTTCTTACTTCATTAATTTTCTCCATTAGTTCTGTCTAGTTATTTCATTTCATATAGTTACTTCATAACCTCTGACCTTTGGTAGCATGGCGAGGGTTTGGGCACATGGGAAAATGGTACCCCTAACATACTCTAAAAATGGTTTATTAATATGAAATAAAATTTGGTTAAAGATGTCATTAACATACAACTACAAGGATCAACTCCTTGGCTTTACTCATCTGAAATTCCAATTAGATACACTAGCTTCTTACATCATTACTGGTTGTACATTTAAAAGAGCACACCACATGACAAGCTTACATATGGCAATACACGGTACCTGAGATTCTCAACTCTTAATCAGTCACAGGAATTTAGGAACATACCAACAATACTACTTTAACATTATCAGGGGTGTAGCTTCTTTCTGCTATTTTTCTACATTCGCCAAGAAATAAGTGGCGACCTCATACTCTTGCTGAGGAGATACCTAGGGTACTCCGATGAATAACACAGCCACAGCATACTATACTTAGAGGTGGACTCAAAACACACAACACTGCTACTGAGAGCTGGCCGTGTTTACTATGATGCGTGAGATCAACATGGATGGACAGTCAACACAGGTTGGTGGGTGGCTGGCCTGGCTGGGCTGCAGCCTGGCTGGGCTGTGTGGATATGACGCTACTTGGTCTCAGTGGGTTCATCCATCTCCACTACCCTAACCACCACCACCACCACACTAACCACCACCACACTAACCACCACCACACTAACTACTGCCCCATCCCTTGTCACCAGAGACTACCTGTTGCTGGGCTGGGAGGACTTCGCCAACAGTCGTCTGCTGTACCTGGACGGGAGTATTGCAGTCCCCTATAGGAAGAAGCATGTGAAGAAGATACAGGTGAGTTAGTAGTGGTTGGTGGCACTGTACTGAGTGCTGGTAATGATGGTTGTGGTGGTAGTTTGTGATGTTGAGTGGTGGTGATTGTACATTAAATAAAGGTGTTGCTGAGCAGTGATAAGTTAAGTAATGGTCACTGTACTGAATGGTGATAATACTGTACTGAGTGATGATCATTAGTGATGGTACTGGTAAGTTAAATAATATATGCATTGAGATATGTACAGTCTCGTTCAAGATTCTTCGAACACTGCTGGCAGCTCAAGGTCGTTTGTTTACTATAGTACGTCGTAAAAATTATGAATAAATGTAAAAGTGTATTGGTGATTGGTTACTTAGTTCCCTGTTGCTTAATTTACTGGTTGGTCTTTGTTGTTTCGTATTATATTAAATTACGTACTAAACAAACAGCCTAGAGTTGCCAGCTGTCTCCAGCAGTGTTTGAAGAATCTTGAACGACACTGTACATTCCACACCACTTACAAGGCACACAGACTGGTGGCCTCAAAATTCCTAAATGGCAACTTCGCTAGGGCTACCATGTCAAGGCTAGTGAATTTTTGAAACATGTAAACAAATTGGAAATAAAAACAATTACTGTATTACAAATGAATGATATGCAGTAGAGTATTGTGAATCTGTTACAGTACTCTTAAAAGCTTTTTGAGATTTCTAAAAAAAGAAAAGAGAGAGAGAGAGAGAGAGAGAGAGACTGTAGAACTCTATTTACAGCGATTCAATTTAAGATTATTGATTTAAAGAGACCCCCACAATTAAGGACAATGTTTTAATTTAAAGCGAATCTTTCCTATTTTGCGCGAGTCAGTCTGGTGCATCATATGTTAAATTTTGCTCCTAATGTTTCTCTGGGCACACTACACTGTCCTAAGGGCAAAGCTGTACTGTACATGTACTCAAAATAATGTACTAAATGATTACTAAAATTTTTGTCTAGTGCAAACTATAGCATGATTATATTCAAATTAATCACCATCTTATAAGAATTCCAGCAATGTAAATTATATTCTCCCCGGTCACTTCTGTGACATTTTATAAATAAAAAACAAAAATTCAAGCTAAAGGACATAAATAAAAAAAAATATATACTTCACTAGACCTTTGGCCCAACTGTCAAACGTGTCAGTGTCACTGTCACTCCCCTCCCATCTTCCCAGCCAGGGTTTGGTGGTAATAGGCATTAAGTTTTTATCTTATACAATATCACAGACTAAAGTTAGGAGAATATAATTTGCATTGCTAGAACCCTTGCAAGACAGTGAATAATTTGAATATAAATGTCATATATTTTGCACGAGATAAAATTTTTAGCCCTTTGTAATAAAATTAATTAGAACTAAAATTTGTATGTCTAATGCGAACTATAGCATGCATATACTGTATTCAAATTAATCACTGTCTTATAAGAATTCCAGCAATGTTAATTATATTCTCCCATGTCAGTTCAGTGACATTTTATAAGAGAAAAACTTAGTCACTCTTAAGGACAGATAAATAAATAAGCACTAGACCTTGGCATAAACTGTCAAACAGACCATTTCACGTCCCATAATTTTAGCTGTGTTGATTTATGAGTGTTTGTTTTAACAATACTACAAAAAACAATGTTTTGTTTATTCTAGGAGATGGGCTGAGGAGCATCTGGGTAGACTCTCAGTCCTTTTAGTATTTTGTGTTTCTCTCAAATACCAAACTAAATTATTCCATTGAAACAACACTTTGATTTAGTGCGAATTCGGTTTAAGGCGACCTCTCTTGGAACGTATCTCGTGTTATATCGATGTTCTACTGTATTCACTAACATTTGGGATTATGATGGAAGACTTTTTTGGAGGCTAAGATTTTGAGTAAATTAGAGAGCTAGTTTTAATTGTGGTGGGAACAAGTTAAATTTAATATTATATTCTTATCATTTTAGACCCATGAAGGCCAGGTGTGTAATACCATGTACATTAATTACTTCTCAACAGGTAAAAGATGAGGTGTTTCAATATAAAATTTGAATTGTGAGGATTTCTTTCATCAGTGTAGTGTACTGTATGTGTTATAACTACATTACTTTGATGTACTATACTATTGTTCAACAGCTAAACAGATTCTTTGCCAAAAAAGGTTATGTCAGGTTAGTGCAGGTAGTATGCAATATACTTAAACAGTGTGATATGCATTTCTCATGGTTTAATAATTGTCTGAAAATTATTGATATCTTTAATACTTATGTAACGCTTATCATATTTTAACATGGTCATCCCTAACAGAACTGGGAAGGCCTCGATGCATCCCCAACACCCACTGTCAATACTCCCCTCTCCTCCACGCTCACCCCGGCCCACCCAGGCAGTGATGTGAGGAATAATCAGAGGAGAAGGAAGCGGAAAAGGAAGAACCCTCGAAATAAAAAACTGAAAAGAAAAAGAAGAAAAAATAGAAGAGGGAGGAAACACAATAGCGAGAGACGAACAAACAACTCTGGACGCTGAGGGGATAGAGGTAGGCCATCCCTGTTGGTCTGTAGAACTGAACTACAACTTACAGTATTTCTCTTTTTCTCTATCTATCTGTCTATTCATAGTTTACATTGCTGTCACAACTTCCATAATCCTTTGCGCGGTCCGTTATCTTGTAGGTATAGACGCTACACACTACAGTGATCGCTGTCATAAACAAACATGCCTACACTTTGAAAGAGTAAGTTCAAGATAATGGTGAATTCATGTGTTGTTGCTGGATGCCACAATACATCTAAGAAGAAAGACAAGTCCCGATCATTCCACACTATTCCTGCTTTCATTTATAATCAAGAAGATAAAACACAAGAATTGTCTATAAAGAGGAAGGATTTGTGGACTTCTAGGGTAAACTGAAAAGGGCGGTTGCCTTCTGAACATTCCAAGTTTGTTCCGACCATTTCAATGAAGGTAGGCATAATAAATAAGTAATGTATTTTAGTTAATATCATATCAACAACATTTTCTTCTACAAATATTTGTCCATCAATAATACTGTATCACAGACTCACTCCACTGTATACTATAGGCATTAATATGCATACAGGTATCTCAATGTATAGGCCTAGGCCTAATGTACTTTATTGTACATCCATGTGTGGGTATGCATGCATGTGTGACATGACAGTTGATGAAAATACACTGTATATAGAAATGCTCTCATAAATGTGTAAATTCTTCTACCTAATGGTCTGAGTCCATTTATGTTCATCAACTTGAATGACAGCTACATGTTTAAATTTATACAATGCACAGCTAGTATTCAGCACAGGAGATGTAAATTCTATAAGTCAAAATTTCTCCTGTGCTGGGACAGTATATGCTACATTGACATACACGAACAAGCTAATAAATACAGCCAGTGAAATATGATGACCCTCACACATGCATGTACAAAACAGGCAAATTTCAAAATTTAATACAATACACAGATTATTTGTTGTTAATGTGCTACTGATGACATCAAGCTTCTGTGGACATACATTAATCTGAATTGGAGGCATTTAATGACTTGTATGCCCTGAGTTCATCAACTACATAAGCACTTTTTCTATAAATCATGTAAGTTTCAATGTCCATGTTCGCTATTGGTGGGAAAGTGTCTGGGTTTACCGACCATCTTGATTTGTCGAATGAATCAATATATATATCCCTGTGTATTTTCTTTATCACCACCGCCTGGTTTCTTATTAGGTAACATTGTAATATGTTGTAAATGAAATTGCAGCACTAAATAGTCGCGTCGAGTATGGCGTGTTGTTGTTGACAGTTGTGAGTTTATACCTACAACATGGTGGCAGCCAGAGGACCGCGTTGCATTATGGGAGTATGTGACGTCACACGAAAACTAAGAATATCCCTCATATCTCCTAGATTCTCCCTTCATATTTATATATCTGCAATAAGTACAATATGGCAACTTTAGAATTTTGCCTGTACAGTAATGAATTCTTATTTTATTATTTACCTTGTGTAGTGACATAACTTCCTTCTTTGCTGAAGGTGGGAATTGAGAGTGTAGATGGGCTTTAGGGGGGATTATATCTTTGAATATAGTACTGTACAGTGGTCCCTCGGTTAACGAACTCCTCGGTTAACGAAATTTCGGTTAACAAATTCCCTTCCATAAGAATCTTCATTTCGGTTCACGAAAAAAAATTCGGTTAACGAATTCCTTACGAATTCCTCTCAACATGTTTTCGCTTGTTCACTAGCTGGAATATTAGTCCGCCAATACAGTAATCGGCTCTAGAGCTTAAATTTGTTCCCATTTGAGTAAATACCCCATATCAAGAAGGTTGTACTATTCAATAATTTTACAAGTTTTACATTAAATTTTTTAGTCATTTTAACAATTAATGAACATAATTGAAGTACAGGAAACTAGTTGTTAGTGCACCCAGTTGTTGACTCACCCAACAGGCGTCAGTTTGTGTCTGCTCAGTGGAGGTAACATCTTGCTTGAGACACTCTTGAACATAAACTATTTTTACGTTTTTACAGTACAATTATTGGTCATTCTGAAATTTATTTTACATATTGACAATATATAGTGCAGTGTTGATTTAAAGAAAATAATCTTGAATTACACCTAGTGAACTTAAAATTTTATGGGTGAAATGACGGCATGAAGCATGGGGTGATTTCTCTTCCATCCCCACTTCCTTCTCTTCTCCTCCACTCCCACTTCTAATTCCCATCATCATCATCAACCAGGAGCCTTCTACATACACACCTCAAAGCAAGTGTACTTTACTGCATTTATTTTTACTTTGTATGTAATTTTTGGTGAGCTGGAACCAATTACGCACGACCTTCTGGAACGAATTGTGTTCGTTAACCGAGGGACCATTGTATTTGTATGTTGTACACTGCACAATACCATTGCATCACATGAATATATAAGTTTGATCTTAGTGTTTGTATTGCACCTGTGTCAATATTGGCAAAGTTTGTCCAGGTGACAATTACAAAACACAAGGGGACATTTAAAATTATAAAATTTGTTTTTGAGGGAGCAATCGTTATGATGCCAGAATTTTAAGTTGCGACACGTCAACCCCCCACAGTCTCACACTCGGTGCATAGCCAGACACCGCTTAGGCAGTACTTTGCCCCCACCACAAGGGTCTAGGTTAGTAAGCATAGCAAGTTCTCTTCTTGTATTGTACATAAATATGAGATAAAGATACAACATAAGTTATGTCATATCACATATAAGTGAACTGCAGATGACTCTTACATTATGTCACATAACTTAAGAGTCATATGCTGTTCACTAATATGTGATAAGTCGTTGTGCTCCCCCTGTAGTCTGAATTTATCCTGGTGATACCCCCTGCAAAAGACTTGTAAAATTTCTTAAGTGCCTAAGTGATATTTTCAGTCACCTCCTGAAACAGATAATACACATATTTATTTCAATATCACGACTGTCCATATGTGCTTATGTTCTCATAGGGGCTAATGAAGAGGATCAAGTTGTGTTTGGTTGAGTGAGGGGTAGTGTTGGCCTTCACTTCAGCTGAGGTAGACCCAATCAACAGACCTATATTCTCACTCCCTGGTTTATGATCACTAACTCTTATTGAATGTGCTTAATGTTTTTACTTCTTGGGTTATTATCTGGTGTTCTTAAATACTGTATGCAGTGAACCACATTATCACTTACTGATCAATAAAAAACATCTTGGCATTATTTCTTACAACTGTTTTAAGTATTTTCTTTCCAAGTCATTTGTATATCATGGTTTATTAGACTTGAAACAGCTAACCACAAACTTTGTTAAGGAAATGAAAATTAAACAATGGCTAATCCAGCAAACAAAATGAAAACTGACTCAAATTACTTTTTCAACAGTTGTGATGACATCTTTCCTGTATTGTGGTAAACCTCAACACTTGTAGATGGTCAGTGACAGCAAAGTGTCCATTCATCAGGTACTGCTGAGAGAGAGGTATCAACTAGAGGACTTGTGTGCTGTGATACGGTTACGTTGTCCCGACCAACAATTAGCACTGTGATACAAGGACAACCATGACTAGAGATGCCCACTAAAATATGCACATTTGTAACATGTAATTATTATGTGGTGTACATGACTTGTATGTTATATTAAGTGTACATTAATTATTTTATAATTAAGTGGTGTAAATGAGTTATAAGTGATGATTAGATAGCAAGCATTTGTTTTAATGCCCATTATGTACTTACCGTAATTCAATTTTACAATAGTAGCCAATGAAAACTCCTGAGGCAAGAATTTAAAGAATACATTTACTGTATAATTATTTTCAAAATAAACCAGTATGACATTTTCATCTTTATTCAAAGTAAATTTAAGTAGTGTTATGAAGAGTCCTGTCAGTGTAATATAAAGGAGTTTCTTACAGAGGAAAATTGGTCCAAAGATGATAATTATTTTGTCAGACATTACCACAGTTACTCTTACAACATGAGCCAGTGAACCATCCTTAGTCAAAATATATAAGTGCAAAAGTTATGTTATAAACATTTGTTAATGTTCTGTAACTGTTGGGAACTTACTCGCTACTTTCATTAAACAGCTGCATTGAATTTAGATCTAAAGATGGAAAGCTGCAGTACAGTATAGGCAGAACAAGGTGAAATGTTCCTTTGCCTGCCAGATACTGAAATTTACCTACCCAAGAAAATGTACTTTGTGAACTGCTTTTCACAACTCCTAACTATAAATTGGTAGTGCTGTCAACTACTGTACCACTCTGAGATATCAGGTAAGTGCTGGAGTTAGGAATGGATAAAGAGTCACTAGTTTGTTATAAAATAATGAACTATTTCTCCATAACATTTCTCACTGGGTGGCTGTCACAAAGCCAGTCATATCATAATAATGCCTTAAGCTAAATTAGAAGCTAAATTAGGGACAATGACTGAGTGCTCCTCCAGGTCTCTGCTACTCACTGAGATAGTTAACCTAAAGCTATGTGATAAATGACAATGTGCTTAAATCTTAAACTGTACAGGTACTTTTTATATTTATATTAGTGTATGAAACTGAGTACTGTACACTATTGGTATCTGTTTTATGTCTTATTTTCTCTTTGAATACTGAACTTGCTCCATGCTTGTAACATTTGCTTTAACTGATGATGTCCAAGGAGCAGAAAAAAAAATGCTAATATGATACTGTAACTACAAGTTTTGTCTTTTATTCTTTCGTCTTTATGATCTTAATTAAGTTTACATGTGTACAAAGAATTACTATAAGTCCCAGTCACGTGTATTGCTGGACCAAACGTGAGAACATCTCCAATTTTTATCTATAAATTTACATGAGTTGCTACCCACAACATTGAGGAAAGGCAAAGTTGACAAGTTAAAATAATGAGTGAATAATCTAGGGGGTTCAAATACGTGGATGCAGCAAGTAAGGAGCACTCGTGCAAGAATCACTGTTATCGTGACAGACAAATTTAAGTTTTGAAAAGGATAAGAAGATTATTAAGTAAACTGAGTCATCTAATAACATTTATATTAAGTATTGATTAATATAGTTAATTAGGTACATTAAACTACACAAGAAAAACTCAAATATGCAATTATCAAAACACATCAGAATATTACCTGATTATTCTTACTTTAACATTAAATACACATACAGTACTATGCTGATAACCACAAGGAAAGAAGAAAACAGGAATTTCCCAAGCGCTTTTGTGTAATTCACATCTTCAGGGGTGAGTACAGTTGTAGTGGATTTCTCCCCTACAAACGCTGTTTGTTGCTGAGTAGCTGACCCCGCAAATTCCCCAGTGTATGCCTCGTGGTCTAGGTCAACCAGCGCCGCCTTACATAGCGGAGGTCAACTATTAAGCCACGCCTACCTCCGCTATATAAGACCTGACCTCGTGGTGACCTACCTCTCTCTTTCTACCTACACACCCCAGCCAGCAACACATCCTCTTCCTCCTCCTGCCTGGCGGTCCTCGCTCCCGCCGGCGAGCATGGCGACCCACAAGCTGGTCCTCCTCTGAGCATCCTCACCAATCAGCTCTCTCTACATCACGCTTGTAACCACGCTGCCACTTCCCAGCACCAAGCTGCATTGTACATCCAATACAACATGTATACAGAGAGCACATTGTGAGTTTCCTTTCTCCATCCCATCCTGAGTGAGAACCAAACAACCCGTACCCCACAAATGGTGACCCCGGAGATTCGCACTCACACAGGTTGGAGGAGAAACAGATCACGCTCCCCGTCTTCAAGCAACATGGAAGACTGGCTTATTCACCCAGAAGCAGCTCTCATCGGTTCTACAGCTACTGCTTCTCTAAGCAGACACCAGCTCCTCTTCCTGCCCCAAGCACCACGTCCTACCGACCCCAACACACCCATCCTGCCTCAGACGTCGCCCCTGGCCCAGCAGTACCCCCTGCCGCTCCTCCTGATGCAGCCCCTGCTCCTGACGAGGCCCATGCGCCTGAGTGCGGACCCACACACCCCTCTTTTCTCCCTCAGGTATCCCCCTCAGGTACCCCCTGCTACTGTCCTGCACCCTGCTGCTGTCGTGGACCCAACTGCTGTCACGGACTCTCCTCCGCTCCTGCTGACGCAGCCCCTGCTCCTGACCCAGGCCCACACACCTCAGCAGGCGCATCTGACGACTCTGTACCTGCCGTGAGGGAAGCACAACATTCATCGCCTCCACACACCCTTTTTCTCCCTCTCTACTCCCACAGATGTTGTGTATCTAGACAGTTGTCTCCTCTAGCGGCCGGCTCATCCACGCCCTCGCAGTTATGGCTCACACGTGGCATGCACCGCCCGTTCTGCCTCACGTGTGCCATGCAACCCTGCAGACAACAAGTCTCCTACACCGCCTGGAGGGAAGGGGGGAGTACTGTAGTGGATTTCTCCCCTACAAACGCTGTTGCCGTCCCTGAGAGGCCTATGGAAACTTGGCTCTTTTTGGAGGTGCCCCTGAGAACGCCGCCTTCCCTGAGAAAGCCCCTTGGATTAATGTTGTCCCTAAGAGCGCCGGGGAAGGCCTGGGATCCAGGTACCTGACAGGGTCCCTGGGCACGCCACTCTGAGAGGGTGCCTGGGGGCGCCTCCTTGCCGACATGGCCAGTGAGTCTCACAGGATAACGTTGATCCCAGGGTCCCATACAGGACGGAGCGCTCAGGGTGTTCCCAGGACGCGACGTCCCCAGTCTACCACGGCACCTTCAGGGGTTTTCAGAGTTGGTGTTCCCGGTACTTAGCGCTACTGCTCACACTACACCTGCGAGCGGTTGGGGCGTGGCCCTTATGGGCTTCCTAGGGTCATGGGCTGCAGGGTCTCTGCTAGTGGCAGTGGGTGCCTTCCAGGGCGTGCACCTGTTGCTGCCAGGGCGCATAGCCCTCTAGGGGCCCTTCCACATGCATCACCCCAATAACTTCATAGTTTTGTAGTATTTTACAGAGAACAGAGCAATCAAGCACAACACCCCAACTTATGGCTTTGCTGTTGATATTTATTCTCGATTCACTATTTAAATTCTGTGAGATATGACATTAAAAAATACACCTGTTTCCATCGCTTTGTATTATCGCAACCTGAACAATAAAAGGAGAATAAATATCCAACAGCAAAACATAAGTTAGTGTTGTTAATTGATTGCTCTGTTTTCCATTGGCTGTAATTTGTTGATCGCTAATTCTTCACCAATCTCAGTTAAGAGATTACTGGAAGAATCCAATATAGTGACAACATTATCCATTGTTTGGGGCGCCAGCCTCCCTTAGGAGGACCCATTGTGAGCCACAGACCTTGGCAGTGTCCCTGGGTGCAGTGGCGACCCAAAAGATGTCTGAGGAGGCACCGCCTGAAGGCCCCTGGCACCACTGCCAGGTCTGGTTAGCATCAAGCCTAGGAACGTGCCTGGAGGCGCCCCGTCCCCCTGAAACCCTGGGGTCACTGCTGTCCCTGGAGGGCTCCTCGGTTGCTAGCACCTAGCAGATCCCATGGGTCCCTAGGAGCATTGCCGTCCCTGAGAGGCCCATGAAACTCGGCTGTTTCTGGATGAGCCACTGAGAACGCCTCCCCTGAGAAATCCCCAGGTTCTGCTGTCCGTGACGCCCCCAGGATCCAGCGCCCTGGTGGATCCAGCACCCCTGACAGGTCCTGGGGGGTACCGCCGAGATGAGAGGGCCCTGGGGGTCCTTGCCTGGCATGGCCAAGTGAGCCTCACAGGGATAACGTCGATCCCAGGGTCCCTTACAGGGACGAAGCGCTCAGGGGTGTTCCAGGGACGGCGACGTCCCCAGGGCTCTACCACAGGTGGCACCTTTAGGGTCCTTAAGAGGTGTGCCCCAGGGCCTTGGGGCGCTACTGCCCACACTAACCTGCCAGGGCTGCGGCCCTATTGGCCCCTCCTAGGTTGGCTGTTAAGGGCTCTTCTAGTGGCAGTGGTGCTTTCCAGGGGCGGTAACGTCGCTGCTAGAGGGCGAATGGCCCCAGGGCCTTCCATTCGCCCCAATAACTTCATAGTTTTGTAGTACATTTTTATTAGTCCAGTAACCATACTTGACTGTAGATTGGTGGAGTACGATGATGCGTCATCAAATTACAGCCAATAGGAGAACAGAGCAATCAGTCAGCAAATACCCCAACTTATGCTTTTGCTGTTGATATTTATTCTCATTCACTATTCAAATTCTGGAGATATGACGTTAAAAAATACACACCGCCCATCGCTTGTATTATCAACCTGAACAATAAAAAGGGGGGATTAAATATCCAACAGCAAAACATGTTGGTTAGCAATTGATTGCTCTGGCCCATTATTGTAATCAATTTATTTGTACTTAATTCCACCAATCACAGTTAAGTAAGAGGTAATGGAAAAATGCAATAGCAATGACACCATTATCCATTGTGGCCCTTTTAGAGGACCTACAGAGCCACAGACCTTGGCAGGTCCCAGTGGCGACCCATAAAGAGAGGTCTAGGAGGAATCGTCAGTGTCCCTGAAGGCACCGCTGGCAGGGTCTCTGGTTAGCATCAAGGTCCCTAGGAACGTACCTGGAGGCGCCCACGTCCCTGGAAAAACCCCTGGGGTCACCGCTGTCCCTGTGAGGGCCCCTCGGGTTGCTAGCACCCCTAGCAGGTCCCATGGGGTCCCTAGGAGCATTGCCGTCCCTGAGAGGCCCATGGAACCTCGGCTGTTTCTGGAGGAGCCACTGAGAACGCCGCCTTCCCTGAGAAATCCCCTAGGATTCCTGCTGTCCCTAAGAGCGTCCCTGGTGGATCCAGCGCCCCTGGTGGATCCAGCACCTCTGACAGGTCCTCTGGGGGCACCGCCGACCATGAGAGGGCCCTGGGGGCGCGTCCTTGCCTGGCATGGCCAAGTGAGCCTCACAGAGATAACGTCGATCCCAGGGTCCCTTACAGGGACGAAAGCGCCTTCAGGGGTGTTCCCAGGGACGGCGACGTCCCCAGGGGCTCTACCACAGCGGTGGCACCTTTAGGGGCCCTTCAGAGGTGGTGTGTCTCCCAGGGAACCTCTTTGGGGCGCTACTGCCCACAATTAACCTGCCAGGGGCTGCGGCGTCCCTACGGGCCCTCCTAGGGTCGCCGGCGGTGCTATGGGCCCTGCTAGTGGCAGTGGGTGCCTTTCCAGGGGCGGCACGGTCTCTGCCAGGGGCGACGGCGCCCCCAGGGGCCCTTCCACATGCGGCATTACCCCAATATCTTCATAGTTTTGTAGTACATTTTACATTCGTCCAGTAATCCCTTACTTGACTGTGATTGGTGGAGCACGATGCAACATCATCAAATTACAGCCAATAGGAGAACAGAGCAATCAGTCAGCACAACACCCCAACTTATGCTTTGCTGTTGAATATTTATTCTCGTTTCACTATTTGAATTCTGGGAGATATGACGTTAAATATCCGCGAATCGCACTTTCAGTATTATCTCAACCTGAACAATGAAAAGGAGAATAAACATCCAACAGCAAAACATAAGGTGGGGTGTTATGCTATTTGATTGCTGTGTTTTCCTATTGGCTGTAATTTGATGACGTTACCTCTTATTCCACCAATCACAGTTAAGTAAGATTACTGGAAGAATGCAATATGTACGACACCACTGTCCATTGTTTTGGGGCGCCTCCTCCCCTAGGAGGACCTATTGTAAGCCAGGGGCC